GGCAATGGTTTCTGCATCCAGAGCGCCGTCTCCGTTCAGTCCCACGGTCACCAGCATTTCCGCTGCGTTGTGTGTCGCGGGCATGGTCTCGGGTTCGGTACGAGTCCGTTTTGCAGCTCGGAAAGCCTCGGCATGCTTGTTCGGGGGACCGCGTCGTCTTTGTGCTCGAGCGAAGGTGCAATCGACACCGAGGTCACTGCACGGGCGGCAAGGAGTAGACTCGTCGCACTGAAAGTCACCGTCTTGTTAGCTAGATGAGTCGCGGTGTCGAGCTAATCGGATGAGATTCCAAGAGAAAAAAAGTGAGTATTCAACATCTGAGTTTACTGACCTTCACCTTGCGCTGGCTGCACATATCACACGCCCTTCTGAGACGCGTCTGTGGTTTCGCGGGCGAGGTGGATTGCGTGGTGGACGGAGCTCCGTTACTTGCCGCCGGTATTCCATCTTGGGTCTGATGATTCTGCCCCATGGCAGCTGTTGCTGCTGCTGCTGCTGCGGCGGCGGCCACAGCAGACGAAGTGAATCGAGAAGGACCGGAGTTCTGAAGAGAGGAATCATTTGAAGAGGGGTTGAGAGCTTGGCTGAGAGCTTGAAGACCGGCAGCCATGGGGTAATGCGCCTGCGAATGCACATTCTGCGCAGACGGCGACAGCAGACCACTGCCATCGTAATGGTGTGCTGCCTGCTGATATGGAGATGTAGTTATGGGCTGCCCCGGTGAGTTCGATGCGAAGCTCGTCGTATCTGAGCCAGCTCCGGCTGAAGTTGGAGGAGGGTGCTGGTAGCCTGACATCTTGCCCGCCCGCTCACCACACTCACACTCGCTCGCGGAGATCTCAGCGTCACCACCAGCGCAGCACAAGCTTAGCTCCACTACCTGTACCTTCCCAGACCCTGCCGAGAAAGAACACCTGGGAGGTAGGTGCGCATTGCACACTACCTCAATTGGCGTGCTGATGTAGGCAGGCAATTAGCTAGCCAAGGTGGAAAGGCGGGTATGAAGAAGGATTACCCAAGGCGAAGATCCGGGTGAATTGCGGTTGAATCTCGTCGCGCCCCCAGTCCAGTGCTGTGAGCTCACCACCTTGTGATTAGCAGTGTGGGAGCTCTTCAGGGTGGGTTTTGTGGGTTTTTGGGTGGGTTAAAGAGGGGACCGGGTGGAGGGGAAGGAAAGAAAGAGACGCGCCTGCCAGATTTAGCTCTGAAGCTGGGCCCCCGGCGAAATAAAGTATGCACGGACCCTGGGGAGACACCTGCACCTGTTGCACGCTAAGCCTCTTCCGTCCTTCGCACAGCAAATCACCAATACGAGGAGCTGAGCTCACCATCAACTCATTCATCTTGATGGATGCTACCTTTGTTAAACTCAAGTCTTACTGGTAGACTTGCTAAGAACACCCAGCATCCAAGCTTTCATGGCCTTCATTGCATTTCCCATGTAGCAGATCTGGCCTTCTAGCAAAATGAAATCATGCGCCTCTTTCTCCCTCACTTCTAGTCTGATTTCCATATCTGGGTTCCGCTTCAGCATGCTTTCTGCCAGCTGAATGCCCTCGTCTCTCAACACTTCGTTCTTGCCCACGGTCACATACAGTTGCCCTACAACATTGCTCATTCCTATAAACCAGGCATCATCCACATCGATGGGCATGGCCCAGCCCTTGCCCTCTCTCTCTTCGGCCACGTGGCGGGAGCCACGTAATGTTAAGGTAACGGACTGGTGCACAATCTTAGATGATACCATATCAAGATGTCTATTTTCGTCGAAAGCACGTCCCGTTTCCCTTTTGCTCAACCATGGCGATACTGTAAATGCAGCTGCCAGCGGCTGACTTACTTCAATCCGTCTTGCGGCAGGATGTGGGTGCAAAATGTGGCAAAGTAGTGCTACTGTCAAGTTCCCACCGCAAGAGTCTCCTCCAATGATGATGTCTCGAGGCTCAGTTCCACTATCCAGGATATGTCCCAGAGCATCCGCGGCCTGGCACAGTTGTACAGGATATTGACCCTCGGGACAGAGTGTATAGTGCAGCACGGCAACGGCGACCTCAACTCCAATGTCTTGTCCAGCGCGGACGTATGCTTGCAGACACCACTCGAGCTGTCCGGGGTCCAGCGGCAGCAGATATCCTCCGCCATGCAGGAACAAGACAGTCTTCTTGGCTCGGGTGCGATCTCCAATCCACATAAGCCAAGAGGCGCCGTCTGGAAGTGCTTCAATATCGTAAACAAGACAACTGGCAAGAACGGCATCATGGTGTGTGCGTGCATGGATTTGCTTCATGGTGATCCACTTCTCGTAAACCTCTCCAGTACTGGGCATTACGAACTGGGTCTGCCGGGGGGTGAGGCTCTCCATTAGCACCCGAATGACTGCGCATCTCAGGAAATTTATGAGTGGCAGTCCACGCCATACGGCCACCAGCAAGGATCGAGGGGCATTGATGCAGAGCTTGAGCGGTACTGTTCTGCATGTCAGTTTACGCAGCGCCATGTAACGAATCACTCACCTATAGTGAACACTTTGACGACAAGATTCAGAATCTCGAACAATGACAGCCGGGTTCGTGATGTGATTGCCTGCATTTGGTTAGGAAAACATTCATTCGGGGTGGAGCGATCTAGATATGCACCATGATAGTGAGGTCCGCTGGATCTCAAATGAAAGCTTTACAAGTGAACATACACGCCAAGACGTATTGTCTCTTCATTTCAGACTCCGGTTTATGTTTTTATGAACGTTCGAGCGCTATATAATAACGCATCTGGCAAACTGGGTTGCCTTGACGTGCTGACATGACTCCGCTTTGGTGGCGCTCGACTATCTCGCGCCACGGCGACAAATTATAAATTATTGGATGAAAACGCCTAGAGCAACACCGCATCGTGCAACCTTGCTCGGTTACATATGGCGGGTGGCTTGCGTCGGGCACTGCTCATATCGGACCCAGTTGTCTGGATATCAACGTATGATCGCACTCTCGGACTTATAGTAAGCCAGCCAGCCTCCGAACCCAGAGAGCATGGGCAATGCTTGAATAGTCTAATAATAGTTATCACTCCAGTCCTTGATGACATAGCTCTCATCAAGTGATTGTTGCCTTGTATAATTATACAACGAGCTTTTGACGGTGAATTTGTGAATGGAAAGCAGTGAGCGATTAGGCAGTTGAGCAACTCTATGCTCAGACCCTTGTATTTCATCACCAAACATGCCTGTGGTATTTCCCCAAAAGCCTCGAAACAATGAGGAACGTAATAATCCTGTTTTTGAAATCGAAACAAGACGGGCCGGCAGTTGGAAACGCGGTCAAATGCAGCTGCTTTCCCCCCTTTTGATTGCACTCCAAGACCCGGTCACTTCTTTGGCTCCGGGAGAAGCAAGCCGTACGAAAGCGATACACGGAAAGGGCAAATTGACCGTGTGCAAGAAGGCAGCGCAAAAAAACTCCCTTAAATGAAAGAGAGACGCTTCTGGAAAGCATGAAAATGGTGTTTGTCAAAGTCCGGTAAATCTGGATTGATCTACGGGCTTGGAACACATGAGAACGGTTAAATGCGATGCTTGTGTCGTCGAAGGTTCTCCGCATTGTGAGACACAGAGCCCTCAACCATTGAAAGTAATCATGGTTGTGACATGTAGCGCTTGGTCCCCGCCAAGCCCCTGCCAACATGCTGTGCACCGGGTTTCTCCAGTTCAGACGAACATCAGCCGCGCCACTCACTCGAGCACCATCTCTTACACTTCGGTGCCTTGGCATAACTTTTCTTCATCCGAACAGGGCTTGATGGGGTAAGATCTTAAATTCAGAACCATGGATCCACGTGTCCGAGCCCACTTCACTTCGGCTTTTGAACCCCCAGTTTACAAAGAGATCGAATGAATTATTTCCCCGACTTCTCGCTGTGGTTTCCGACTCTTCTCTAATCAAACTCATGTCGAACGATCTAACGAGGAGATGAAGTCTGCAACAAAAGTCAACATGACTATAAGATCATAGGATGTAACTGAGTTGTCATCTCAAGTCAAACTCACTACGAGCTCATCTGCAACAGAGGCAAGCATGGCAATGTCTGCACAGAGGGTACCGCCTAACGGCACTTGGAACGGCTGGCCGTTCGACTTTAGTCAATTCCCCCATGACAACTATGGACCTCAAGTGAATTACGCCATCTGGATATTGACGGCGGTGGCAGCAACCTTCCTGGGACTGCGAGTGTACTGCAAATTCTTACGCCGGCGAGGTCTCTGGTGGGATGATTATATCCTGATAGCAAGCTGGGTGAGCTCAAGATAATTTGCAAGTGCACTTACAAAAACCCTCAACTGACGCAGAATAATTAGGTCGCACTCGCAGTACAGACGATTCTGATATCATACAACACGACGATTGGGTACGGTAAACACATCTGGGACTTTAATCCCAAAGACCTGACCACATTCCTTCTGTTGTCGAATACGAGTGGTTTCTTTTCCATCCTTGCTGCTACGTGGAGCAAGACATCATTCGCGATCACAGTATTACGAATATCTGACGGCTGGATAAAACGGCTCATCTGGTTCATCATGATCTCCGTCAATCTTGCTTTGGGGTTCGGGGCTTTGTCAACATACATTCAGTGCTCACCAGCAGAGAAGTTGTGGAAGCCTTTGATGGAGGGGAAATGCTGGCCCAAGGAGATCATCATTAGATACCAGGTCTTCACGGCAGGTAAGCGTAACATGCAGTTCCTCATGAGTTTCTAGTATTGACAAATCATTAGCTTATTCCGGTGCGATGGACATTATTTTAGCAATACTACCGTGGAAAATCATCTGGGCATTGACGATGAACAAAAAGGAAAAGGTTGGCGTGATGCTAGCCATGTCTATGGGCGTATTGTAAGTCGTATCTCGATACTCAACCAGCAATGTTCTAAATTAATAGCCATAGCGCGGGAGTCGTATCAATCGTCAAGATCACGCAACTTCCAGCAATCAACAAATTTGACCTCAGTAAGTTTGAAACTCTCATTTATGGTATAGGTGGCGGAGCTAACTGAAACAAGTCGATGGGATCTGGTTGTCGGTTCTAGGAACCGCCGAAGGTGCCATAACCATTGTGGCCGCCTCCATTCCAATCTTGAGAGCATTAATAAATCAGCCACCAGTCAGGGAGCCACCAGTCAGGTTCCATGCCGGCGAAATCAACATGTATGCTGGGGGCTTGGATACCACAGGCACCAGTAGCACAATCATAACCTCGACAAGGAACTCACTCTCACAGACTCGGTCATCGCGATCATCGTATCTATTTTCGTATTCAAAGTACAAGAGAGAGTCGGATGGCTGGTTTGGGAAGATGTTAGAGAGCAATGAAGCTCCTCCACCCAAAATAATCCAAACACAAGAGGTATCAGTGAAATGGGAAAGTAATGAAGATATAGGAAAAGCAATCTAGTCTTACTCAACCATAGTAATCAAAGTCCGTATCTTTAGGTTCTGTGAAAAAAATTATGGTAGCTCTGACAAGCTCATTCAGTCTTCGGTTCTTTCGACACAACCTCCTTCATCGCTGCCAAAAATGCGGATCCACCAGTAGCATCGACGAACTGAGTGATCTTCTTGATTTTGCTTCCATCATCAGTGAAGTGCAAGAACCAGCAAAATTCGACCACGTATGCGTCCCCTTCTTTTAATTTGAGCGTATGAACTGATCGGGCCGCTGCCTTTACCCCAACGGTATCAATTGAGCAGTCTAAGATCTCGGTCTTACTGTACTCCAGCACGACGAGTTCTTTGGACACGTGCTTCTCATAAGCGTCGTTGTCCATTTTCGGGTCGAATGGTATCTTCAGTGATCGGAACATTGATCCGGGCACTAGCTCACGACGACAGTCTGGCGTAAGTGCTCGGGAAAGGATAGAGCCATCCCGTAATTCGACAGCATCAGTGTATGATGAAACAAAGCTTTTGACTGTCGCTTCTATAGTTGAGTAGAGTGTTGTGTCGGCCATTATTTATGACGTTTTTCTCACGACGGTGTATGTCGCTGGAGGATACAAATGTCATTGTGGCCCAAGATTTGAGCTAAGGAGGAGAAGGCAACTATATATTTCATCATTTCTATCACGTGGGATTCACTGTGCATTATATTGTCAGCGCTAACTACGGAGGCCTATAGGCACGACTGTGCTTTTTCAATTTTTTAACGAATCGGCTCACTTTCCGCCTTCCCCGGAGCTAACTCAACTTAGCGTCAGTAGTCCAAAAATCAGTATCTCAAAAGTATCTCAATCTCTAGCCACTATAACTACAGCACCTACCTACCTACAGTATCTATAGCACCTACAGCACCTACAGCACCTACAGCACCTACCTACCTACAGCACTTATAGTACTTACAGTATCTACAGCACCTACCTACCTACAGCACTTACAGTACTTATAGCACCTACAGCACTTATAGCACTTATAGTATCTATAGCACTTTAGATAAGTATTATAAGTATTATAGATACTATAGGTAGGTAGATGCTATAGATACTGTAGGTACTGTAAGTACTGTAGGTACTGTAGGTACTATAGGTAGGTAAATACTGTAGGTACTATAAGTGCTACAAATGCTGTAGATACTATAGGTAAATACAGTAGGAAGACAAAAGTAACATCTACTTCGCATTAATCTTACGTTTTCTTACCATAATATAAAATAACCACCTTTTCTTTAATTATAGCTTAAAAAACTTCTAAAGTAGAGTATTCTCCTTATAAAAGAATAAGGATTCAAACAGTATATAATTTAGGTCTAATATCTAAGGTATTATTTGCTAAAAAAGATATAAATCTAGAGATTATTTATAAGATTATCAAATAATATTATATCTAAAAATCGACTATTTTATATAAATACTTAAGATATTCTAAAAAGCTAACATACTTACATAGTAAGCAGTATATCATAGTAAGCGACATACTATTCGTATATTATATCATATTCTACCTTCAATAATGATTTTCTCTGCTAATTCAAATAGCTACTTCTTTAAATAAAGTAAGGCTTCTTTTAGCTATCTAAGCTTTTCAAAACAACTTTAAGCTATCTATATAAAGTATAGCTAAGATCTACTAAGTTGTAAAAACTTTCCTCCGTTGACAATATGCTAGCAAAGAGTTATAATATAAGTAAAAAATTTCTGAAATTTTTTGAAAAGTTGAAAAAGCACAGTCGTGCCTATAGGCCTCCGTAGCTAACGTCCTTTTGCCATTCCCCATTCAAGGGCGTATTCCTTCCACTTCGGCGCTGCCTGTGCACCGTTTTCTACCAATTTCGCGCCAACCTGACGCTGAACGCCTTCTTCAGTATTGTTCGATAAAATTTCCAATGTGGTACAAACCTCATATGCTCTACAAAACCTCTAAAAGATGAATGATTACAATAGTTCGCCAGTGCATGGTAGTACGCGAGAAGCCCGGGCTCGTGTTTTGAATGCTAAAGCGACCCAATACCTAACTCATTTGCCGACAGCCCGTAAAGGATTCTACTTCTCCTCAGGCTCCGCCTCAGTGTCGCTCCCTTTGACTGGAGCCTTTCCGAAGTCCAATTTCCTCCAAGGCATCAGACACCCGCACAAGAATGCCATGGCCCCCGCTGCAAGTACAATGTAGAAAAGTCTAGCGATGACCTTAGTCACCGCTTCGACAGCCACCGTCATGACATCCGCGTCTGCCTCATCCCACACTCGCGAGTCAACGCCTGCTAAGGCCTGGCGAATCTCTTCATCACTGAAGCCGGAGTTTCCAATCGCGTCCTTCAACAGGTTGAAGCCGACGTTCTGGAAGACGCATCCGGCAAGTGCTAGAGTAAGCGCTGTGCCGCCAAGTTGCATGATGATGAACAGAGCGCTAGCATCAAGCTTGCGCGCCGGAGGCACAGACTGAGTTAAAATGCCCACCCCGGTATTCCAGAGACATCCTACGCCGCAGCCGATCAAGGCCGTGTGTCCCATGACTGCGCTTGGAGACGTATGCGGGTCGAGTGTGGTTTGTAGCCCGGCGCCGATCAGAATCAATGCGCCTCCGAATATATAGAAAGGTGCGTAGAGCCTGACGACAGGGAGCAGTACACCACTAGTGATAGTGAAAACGATGAAAGTGCAGATGTATGGTAATAAGCGAACGGCAGCCTGAATAGGGGCAAATCCGCGCGTAAAGGCGAAGAAAAGCGGCGTATAGTAAAGCGTCGTGCCATAAGCACAGCCCGCAACCCATGTTGAGAGAGAGACGAGAGCGATGACTCGAGATCTGAATAGATCTCCGGGGAATATTCGCTTATCTTTCGGTATGAAGATGCTGAAGTATTGTTGTAGCACGTAGGCAATGTAGATGAGACCCACGAACACCCATGCCACGATAGCGGAACTTGATGACCAAGCCCATGTAGATCCACTGAATATGAGAGCACAGCAAAGGAGCACGAAGCCAGAAACATGAAGAACGAAGCCGAGCCAGTCTATACCAAGCAGACCAGCCAAAACTGGAGATGGATCAAGTCGAGTGTTTGGTACAACGAAGAATAAGATTCCCATTGTTAAAGCTAAAATGGGAAGGTTGATGTAAAGCGCCTTGGCTGTGTGTCAGTAATAACAGGCTTCACTTCAGGAGGACGGTCCGCATACCCATCTCCATGTCGCATGAACATTCTCAGCAAACGCTCCACCAATAATTGGACCCAACACGAGACCTAAAGCCCATGATATTCCCATAAGCCCCTGGATTCGGGGAAGTTCGCTTGGGGTGGTGAAGACAACGTTGGCAACCAGAGCTCTGTTTAGAATAAGTTAATTAAGTCCCGAGTCCTAAAGCAAGCTGATGAGAACCAATTTCACTTACACCTGATATAATCCAGCTCCTCCTATGCCTGAAACAACTCTGCCGATGATAACACTGTTCATGCTAGTAGCTGAGCCAGCTACAACGGCGCCAATGAAGAATATGCCAACATAAGCGACGATCTGCCATCTGAGACTTTCTACGAAGACAAGCCGACGCGCCATTGGTGCAATGCATACATTCATAGCGGTGTAGCCCATCGAGACCCAGGGCAATAGTTCGACGTGCCCAAATGCCTCGTAGATAGGAGGTTGTATATTGGCAATGTTGCTGACATCATAGCCTATCACCGGCGTTAGGTCTGTTCAGATCAGCCCAGGAAGGTAACTACTTGCCCATAATGATGCCGCACAGAACAAATGCAACCTGCATGCTAGGGAATCTCCATTTCGCCCATCCTTCTCGAGGATGCTTGGGAGGCGCTGCCTGCTCTTCTTGTTCCTTGGTCGTTGGCAGCATACTTCCCTCCCTCGAGGTATTCATCTGGATGCCGTCCGCATTATCAAATTTTGGTGCGTCCTCCATCAGCCGATCGTGTTGGTATGGCGCGGTTCGATATGTGCTGTATACGCTGTCGTAGAAACTGCCCGGCTGAGCAACTATGTATTGAAAGGCTCCGGTCTGATCTTGCCCATTCACTGCAGGTGAATCATAACAGAGGTGGTCTTGAGGTGCTTGGTGGCCCTGATCTTCAGGATACGACATCAAGGGTTGCTGGTGGCTTGCGGCAGGAACATTAGGGATTCTGAGGCTCTGTTGCCTCTTGACATTAAATAAAGGTTGCGAGCAATGCGGACACAGGAATGTATCTAAGGGTGTGTTGCTTCGGGAGGTCATGTTGAAGTTACCCGAAAAAAAGGTCTGACTGGCCCAGCCGTATCCACGTCTCTGTGTCTGACGGCTGCCTCGAGACTCGCCAGATTCCACAACGTGCGGTCGAAGATAGCGGAGATGGGCCCAGATTAGGAAGCAATGCGCGGGCGGACAATATAATGCTCTTTCAACCAGGCCTCACGTCCACCGAATCGGCTGCCCGATGGCTATATACCTTTGCATGGTGCCCGCACAGACACAAGCACAGAGGGTCGATATGGGGGCCATTTTCGAGTTCCATTGCAGATCGTCTGTTGGACCCGTCCTACATTTCTTATTTTTGGTTAGGCTGGCATTGTTGCGACGGCCCGGCGTCAAGAGCGAGCACTCTGATCCTCCAACGTCACCATTGGGATAGTCAATTAGCTGGCAGTGCCATTCAATCCATCAGGCGGCTAGGGCTGAGTGGTGTAGGATCCTAAATGTAGATCACTTACCGGCATGTCTTCCCCTCTAGGCAACTCTGGCCGTTGCAGCCTCCAGCATGCCATTTTTGGCCAGCCTGTCAGTATTTGACCGTACCTGGTTGGCTCGTCTTCCGACATGCTAGGTGCTACTTTCCGCTCTTATCATGTCGGGTTCTGCAGACGTGTGCACCATCGGATCCGGCAGCCGGAATCGCTCACACGCCGTTTAGGATTGCCATCGTTCTCGTCACCTCAGTAGACAAAAAGTCCAAGCACTCTTAAGTCCTGTTATCTCTGCAATCCATAGACGACTGGCCAGATTCGAAAGAGTTCATGAGGGAATGACTACATTGCTTCGTCCTGGTATCGATGGCATCTTCTCCACACACAACAACAGCCCAAGTAAGTGGTCGTAAGCTAAAATTAAGTCATAAATTCACGATGGATACGTAGTTAGCTACGTGATAAGCTTTGGGCATGGGCGTCCAGTAGGTCGCGCTCAAAAATGCCCGAACCGGCAAAAAATGGTGCGCCAGCCGCAATTCGTGATGCGAATCTGCCAGTGATCTGCTGCCATTCAACCCTGCGCCCCTGCACGTCTGCACTAAGCTACCTGGAGGTGCATTTGACGACCATCAGCACCGCCCCGCCTCGGCCGTTCTTCCAGCGATTGTCTGCACTACCTAATGCGGCTCGATATCCGAACGCGAGGTCGTCGCCTGGGCCGTGGTCATCAGAGAGCCAGACAAGCCAACTCCAAAATTTCACATACTACAAATCACTACGGTGTTATTGAAATCGACCATCCAGTGGTTGATGTGCCAACAGATGCTATGAGGTACTCCAGCGTTGGACCTTGCATACATCATCATCAGGCAAGATATACACTAGACAGTAATGCAATTGCTGTGACTTCATTCTCGTCATCACCTCGGATAGCTTCTCGTGAAATTGTATGAAGCGATCACTCTTGGGCTGGAGGACCTCGATTCACCCTGGAACCGAGACACTGACCAACAACGCATATATGAAAGAGGTTGACTTTTGCGGTCGACAGTACGGCACATTCTTTGTCATACATCGATATAAGCTTAGAAATATAAGCTGACGAGCACCCGTCTTCTCAAACTATAACAACCGCAATTAACGAGTTTAGCCTCTGATCTTTCCTTACAATGCGCCTGGAAGAGCACAAGATACAGTAGCTCTCAATCGACACACCGTGACTTTTATGTCCTTTCATTTATGTTCTTCATGCTCTTACAATAACGATTGCGCTGGGCTTTTGACTCTTTGAGGTTCAGAGATGTTCGCCTACAGTTCAGGACAAGCCAGAGAACATTCAGTTCAACTAGGCTATACATTCAAGTTCTGGATACCTTCTCGAGTCTAGCGCTTACTGGTACATTTACTGTGAGGCTGACGCACGCCCTGATAGAATGGCGTTTCGAATATCAGGAAAGATTGCCGAGACACCACATAATTGCAAAATTGGGGCCCAAGTTTTGGCCCCTCTCAAAAGCGTGGCACGGAGATATCAGACGATGAGGCTCAGCATCCCAAGGAAGAAATTCGCAAACCTAATTACAATGGGCTTACGCTCCAACTAGCCTTTAGTAGTAATAGCCAAAGGTTCTACTCCATTGCTAACTCCAGCTCTTTCTATCTAATGAAGAAAGTGTCTAAGGGAACCAGGTTGCCAGGATTAACGTTACCAAAGTGCAACTGTATTGGGCGTCTCTCCAATGATAGTGAGAAATCCCTTCTCAGGTGTTTCGTCTAACTTGGCAAGAAAGCACGACACAAACATTTATTAGTCGAAGGTCTGCCATTGCTTACGCGGTTTTAGTCCCCGGGACATTCTCAGCCGATGAACTAACTCCCACTTCGCCAACAATGGTATCCGCTAGGATGCGGCGTTTTTCCAGTTCGTCGAAAACGCCCCAGTCGCCAATCTCTTCATCAAAGAATTGGTCCAAGTCCAACCCCTTCTCTTCAGCCTCGTCAGAAACACGAAGGTGTAGACCGGGGATGTACTTCAAGATCATGAGCAGAGCACAAGATACTACGAATGAGTATGCGGATATGGCAGTGATCTCGGCGAACTGCTTGCCAACTTGAATGCCGTTGCCGTCGATGCCACCAGGTGCAAGAGTTGCACCATCGAGGGAGGAAACTAAGCCGCAATCAGTACCATATCCACTCAGTGCTTTATGAGTTCAAGTCTTTTATCACAGTATGACTTACCTGCAGACGTAGCGAAGATTCCGGTCAAAAAAGAGCCCATCATGCCGCCAATGCCGTGTAGTTTGAAAACATCCATCCCTTCATCAATGCGCAACCATTCATTGACGTTTTCACAGAGCGCGCAAACCACAGCAGTAAGGAATCCAATTACTGCAGCCAGCCAGACACTGACATAGCCAGCAGCTGGTGTGATGCCCACCAAGCCCGCAATCGCTCCTGAGCAGGCACCCACAACGCTGAAGCGGCCTTTATGTTTCGCCATGTCGACCATGACCCAGCCAATGGCACCAGTTGAGGCTGCAGTGTTGGTATTGAAAGCTGCGTACATAGCGCGAACCGACGCATTGAGAGCTGAACCACCATTGAAGCCAAACCAGCCGAACCAAATCAACACGGTACCGAGAAAGACCAGCGTAGTGTTGTGAGGCTTGCCGTGGTGTTTGTCGTCGGGGTTCTTCTTGCGCTTACCGAGGACGAAAGCGTAGGCCAGGGCCGACCACCCAGAGGAGATATGTACAGGTCCGCCACCAGCGAAGTCGAGGGAGGGCAGAGTGTAGAGCCAGCCATTGGGATTCCAAGTCCAGCAAGCGATTGGGCAGTATACGACAGTTGCCCAAAAGAAGCCAAAGATGAGAGAAGGTAAGATCCTGCCGCGCTCAAATGCGCCACCTACCACGATCTGAACTGTGCAGGCGCAGAATAGTAGCTGATACAGACAGAAGACGATCTCGGGAATCGTAGGGTTGCCAATCGAAGGCGCTGCGACGACATTCTTCATGCCGAAATTTGCAAGATCACCGATAAATGGGCCCGCGGTTCGGCTGTACGCGAGCGAATAACCCCAAAACATCCACTGCATCCCTTTGAGTCAGTCATTGTCTGAGGAGAAAGCCAGGATGCATAGGCCGGGTATATTCTATCTAATGTTCTCGGAGGGTTCATCCAATGATTTGGCCTTGATGCAGGACTCTTGCCCTGGCGGAACCGCAGGTAATATTACTTACTTGGAACGTAGTCACGGCGCCGACCATGAGTGATTGGAATAAAAGAGCGAGAGCAGACTTCCGGCGGGCAAGGCCACCATAAAGGAGGCCTAGCCCTGGGATAATCAACCAAACGATGTAGCCACAGAATACAAGGTATGAGTAGTTGTACTCGTATCCGACATATTGTGCGTTAACGTCCACCTCTTGCGGGTTGCCACCCTGCGGCAGAGACTCGTTGAAACTTGGCTAGAGTGAAGTCATGTCAGCATCTCGAATTGCCCTGTTACATAGTGATGATGAGACTTACCAGTGTAGACATCGCGTATGAGACACAAAACAGCTCGCGAGAGTTTGGAAAGAAGCTGAAAAGAGAGAAATTGTGAAGAAAGTCAGGTTGGGCAAAGCAATGTCTTCCCAGGATAGGGATACCTCTTCTGGCTGATGTGAAGCTAGCATCAGCGCGGCGCACCGCGCACGCAATCAATCTCAGGACTAGTCATCTCTTATCTATGTGGCGCCAATCTAAGATCCTCGGTTTGAAGAGTGTTACACGCCCCAGGCTCACAGTTCCAAGGCAATTGGAGACGAACTATTACCCAAAGTTGATTGTCACTTGGGTCGACGGTGGGGCTGGGCATTGAGCTTGTTATCTCTTGGCACCTCTTGTTATCGTTAATGCTTGCGGGATGAGGGAACAAGCTTCTACACCAAGCAATTTTAGTACATCTTTTCCCGCATTCTCGTTTCAGCCAATTTGGGGACATTCCTGTTAGTGCGGACAAGGGTGATTGCCGGTATATCGCCGACAAGATAACGGTCCTCTCCGAGGCAACATGTTGGTCGCCTAACTCTAACCTTCCGTTTTTATGTCAGAGATTTAGCGTGGAAGGTGCTATAACTAGGTGGTTTCTATATGACAATCACATATTGTAGCTTCCTTTGCTTTTCACGATACCTCAATTGTTAGCTACTTGTGTAGCAGCTATTTTCTGTCCGCGCACCACTTTGTTCACACTGTCTCGCGCTGGAGGAAATGCAGCAAGTCGGTTGGTATACTGAAACATCTCATCGACTAATCATGATGAAGCTCAATGCCTTCCACAGTCGCCTCGAAGTCTATCACAAATCAGACACCTTTGTCAGGTTGACATTGAAAAGTTTAAGGTTTTGTGAATCTCAAACACATACCTGAACGTCCAGAAAGTCCAAGTGTGATAGTATTTACATCCCCTTCACGAAGGCGAAGTTGTACGGGGACGGCGCGATGGTATCCAGCACGACTGTTCAAGTCCGATATGTTTACTGGAACAGTCTCGTCGTTCAAGAGAATATGGACTTGACCAGCTACAAGGCAGACGTCTATTAGTAGGTGAATAAGTCACACGGTGCGATGAGCCCCAAGATACCTTCCGGGTCATTGACGGTGTAGTGGATGGAAACCCATTCAAGTGAACCGGCGCCTGTTATATTTTGGAAGGTCACTTCGCTACCTAGATGCATTCGTTGAGTCGACCGCTTGATGACACATTCCGGACAAGGCAAAGCCACTATTGTGAATATCAGTCAATATCACAATCTCGTCGATTGATGCACCTACCAGTTTGGCCAGATACAGCGGCATCCGCAACGTGATACCGTTTCTTAGTAGCAGGATATGACACAACCCCGGTGTTCACATCTACTTTCCACATAGAGTGATATTGAAGTGTCACAGTCTTAGAGCTTATAAGAGGAAGAATTGTTAACCTTCGATGTTATCGAACTTTGGGACCAATTTTCTTACTTGGTGTTGACCGACATGGGCAACCAGACATAATTTGAGCTCGCCCCGCCTTTAGAATCCCAGGCATCCCCCATATAGATATAAGTAGTTTGTTGTGAGCCTTTCACGGTCAGTTCGAACGTGTTTTGTGATCCGTAAGTATTCTCAGCCTGGGGTGCAATATCGGATCCGCCACTCCATGTTCCTGAAATAGAACTTGACCAGAAGACCTTGTTCGGATTAGCTCTCCATCCTGTCTTACCCGATACTATCATGAAGTAAACATTGTCGGCCTTGAAGAGGCCTGGAGCCTCGTAAGCACCGGCAGCTAGACAAATGTGTCAGTACATCGATGCTTTCTGCATCACATTACTTGAAGTTAGCTCACTGAGTATCGAAGCCCGATTTCCAACGGAGCCATCGGAATTGATAGCATTGACTTGAACCGTGTTATGGTCGGCGCTTGTAAGAAGATACCATGTACCTGTGATCACATTAGAGATGCAACCAACTGGCGTGCTAGGGTTCTGTAATTACGAACTTGAGGCTTCATCAAGAAACATTCCAGTATCTGAATACGAGTAATCGTTCGGAGGCAGATGGACTTTGTTAGAAGTTTTGTAGCCTCCAACCATCTGTGATGAAACCAGAGACAGGACGTATCGATCTTGTTGGCCATATAACTGCACAGGTAATGAGTATATGACTCTGGTCACTAGAACAGATACAGAATGTACCCAAAAAGAACCGTTTGGTTTCGCAATTTTGGGTCGCCACATCCCGGTGACACTCGATGCCTGCGCTCCGAGGTTCTTCCAATTCAGCAAGTCTGTGGATGAGTAAAGCATCGGGGTCTGGTCTGTATTCAATTCCAGTCAGACTCTTCGTGTTGTTGACCTTTGTTGTACAAAGACTTACTGCTCGCCGCATGACCAATCCAGTAAAATGTATCCCCTCTTTTGACAACGCCCCCACCATGAGCATCTATCTTGTTGCCATCTGTATCATACCAAACCGCACCTGGGGCGATCCAGGATGCTGCAAAGATCCCCCATGCGAGACTTAAAGCTGCTAGAGGCCCAGATAGCTGCATGATGACAACGACTCATATTACTTTTGACAATATGAATCTATAGCAACATGTTGCCCGTAGCCATGCTTCTTAAACATCTGTCCGGGGATCTCTAGCCCGAACATTGTTCGGTGGCATTATACTGTCGTCTCCGAGTGTGACGTTGTTGTGAACATCACCCCGCAGTCAATTAATGGAGGAATATTAAGGGGTAGCACTTTCACGTATTGAACGATAGTCAAGACTCGGTACCAAACTAAACCAGCTCTCCGCGTATTTTCATCCGAATAAAGTTCGGGCTAGATCTCCGCAAGGCAATTAGTATGTGTTCTTGGCGTCGTGTTTGTAACGAATTTGAACATCTGCTGTTTATTCGCGGAACAAGGAGAAGCCCTATTCCGTCCAGGTGTTTATTATTGGAACGCTCTTCTCGGAAAAAGTTTGCTGTTGCCAGAAAGATTGGCAATTTTGGAGACAATGTCTCATGCAGTTGCGAGCTGAGCTTCTATGACCTGCAATTGAGCCGTCTGCCCCGAACCGGCTCCGAGAGCCCCGGCACCCAAGGACTCATCGCCAACGGCCGTGACACCAACTCTATCCTAATTCGTTGATGTTACTTTCCTGGTCCATGCAACCGGCCGTGGAAGTTCTATTCAAGTTCGATATGTCTATGTCCAATAATGTAGCTCCCGATATACGTATCTCAAACCCATCTTTGACGTAGCTCATACCAGACTAGAAACCCCTTTCGCAGCCTCATTATCTTACTATCACTGCTTTTACGTGATACATGGGCGGCTGAATAGGGCTACTATAGGCTTCAATCTACAAGTTTTAATCACAATGAATCTATGATAATTACTTTTGAAAGAGCTGAAAATTCGAATCCTGACGTATTACTTTAAACAAGACGACAGCATTTTCAGGTTACCGCGAAGAACCAAAATCAGCTTTAAAAATCGTTTTCATGGGTCAACATTCACGCCAAACAAGAAAGACCCAGTTTTGGTACTAATCAGCAAACCCTTCACAATTGCACCAGTATGACCAGTTGTAACTCCCTATTCCAGACTTTTGTCAAGCGGTTTGGGGCCATTTGCGCTACTGGTCGAGAGCGCGGCTAATTGCGACTTCTAGCATCAGCCGTTGCCGGCAGGTGGAGAGAGTACTGTTAGATCCTATATCGCTTCCTATATTCGGTCTCTGAAGTACAGCCGGAAATTTGGCAGCCAAGACCGTTTGATACCATAAAACAAGCAGAGCTGCCCCAAGTATCTGTCTTTGAATAGCTTTGCCTAAAAAGACTGCGTTGCAGTCAAATCGGTGGCCCAAAATGTTGAATAATATCTCATTATTCTTTCTACTCAGTGTAGCTGACGCCGTTTACATCTCATTAAACACGCCTCTCAGACAAAGTGAGCATTCCACTCGGAACAAATCTCCCCTTGGAACCCCGCATAAATTCTATGTGCCCACAAACTTAACTACCATACCAAATTGTGCTGCACCACAAGCAGCTTGTTCTGCCTCAGATACGGAATTCACCTGTGAGGGCACATCGTGTTGGTGCAATGTCACCACGGAAGGAGAGGGTATTTGTTTCAGCACTGTGGGAACCTGCTCATCGTATAAGTCATGTGTAACAAGCACAGACTGTGCGTCAAATCAAAGATGTTTCGATGTTGCAAGCTGTGATTGTGATAACTTGAGAAAGGTGTGTTCGGCGGTGAAGCCTGCGGTTAATGGAAGTTGTCATTTTTAGTTCACTACAGGACAGCATAGATTCGGTAGCACAAATCGATCACATGAATTAAAGCAATCTCCATCGTCCTGTGCCTAAATTTGAATTCTTTCGAGTTTGGAAGCAAGATGGCCTAACAGCGCAGTAGAAAACAATCAAATATAGACTCCGGCGTCGACAAGCCGTTTTAAATCGCGGATTGCATTGCCGAGGCTGGCCGATGCGTAATGCTATCAACGCAACCATCACTGAACATGAGCATACCCCCTATTACATCTACTTTACCAAACAGCTGAGTCTTGCTGGAATCATGCGAATAAATCTCGGCTGTCGTTTCATGAGTGCGGTTGGAATAAATTCTGCATAGAGAAAGTCCCATTGCAAACATGTCATCCGCGTCTACCCAGCGATATGATTCAATGTGGAGGTTCTTATTCGAGGTGACCCCACCTGATAGCCTATTGCCATTTGCCTTCTCTTGGTATTGGTATGTTTTGATAGGCAGGCAACCTTCTTCAAGGCTTAGCCTGACTGCAATGCTGACGGTAAGCACAGCGTTGGCACTATCTTCAACGCTGGAGCTGATGATTACTGCGCTCCACCATTAAGCGCAAGCTCACCTGTCTTTCGAAACGAGACATGTATGATGCACAAGAACATGAAGCTGCAGGAAGTCGAGGAAGCCAATATCGCTCAGCGCCAGCGGCGGTGACATACAAAGCGTCGAACTGGTTGCCAGAGTTGTAAAGAGGCACACATTCGGTGCGAGGAGCAAAAGCCCGCATGGTACGACTTCCCTGAACTTCTTGTTTACTTCGTTCCCCATATCTATTTAAACGTTACGCCACACTAATTCTTGGCGTCTCAACTACGCTGTATTTTGCTTCGCTAATAGGAAAGGTGTGGTCTCTTTCAAGTTACTGTCAGATTGATGTTGAAATAGTTCTAACTGCCTGCTTCGTGGCCTGATCTGTACCTACCAAGCCGTTTTACCGAAAAGGACGAAACAAACCTGGGCTAAATCCAATCCACATGATCGTGGAACTGCCCTTGTCACCTTGCTGCCAGCGACTCCGGCAGACCCCTTCGATGCGATGCCCGTGAAGATGCCTTACAGATCTCATGAAATCTTCTACCACTGTCAGTATCTCTCAGCATAATCTGAAACTGTAGATTCGCTGACTTTACTACAGTTTTCTCCTTCAGAGATAGTTTACGGACTGCGGTCGGGAAGAACGACCGTGATGTTTCGTAAGTCACTGCTCATCTACACATTGTAAAATTCTATGCACATATTGAGTCAACATGGATCTCATTCAATGACTGGATAGGGCTTATCTCAAGATAACCTGCCATCCTTCATACTTTCGGAGCAACATGATGGCTGCTGCCTTCCACTACGGATCTGCATGTGTGCCAGAGAAGACTATTGCTCAGACGATGTTGCACCACAAAGGTGAAGCTATACGTATATTGCAAGCCAGTATTCACTCTAAGACTTCATGGGATTGGTGCTTATCCGGGATGCACTATCTCAGTTTGATTGAGGTATATTTCCAATGGTAGGCGGCAAGCTTTTATGAATCACGAGCTCATTCTGTGGCTTTCTAGACTGCGATGCGAGATACGGTATCGGGAAACATTCACCTCAAGGGCTTCTTTGCTCTCATATCTCACAAGGAGAGACTGTCTTTAAACACACCTAGGGACGAGATCCTGATTCGACTGACTTTAGTGTTTGTGAAAGCAACAGATCAACAATTATTGGAGCGTTATGTCAACTGATCGTTTCCTTAGGGGCTTGGCCGTCGTCATCATGCCACAGAAGTCACCAAAAGAGTTCAACGAGGAGACGTACCGCCGTTTTGTAATCCCTCTTCTCATTAGAACCCCCCGTTACATCAGCGGCCAAGCATACGCCTTTCATCACATTATAGGAGAGTTCAGGTTGATCCCGCAGGTTGTGAGGAGGCTCATATGGGGAGTTCAAGTGCCGGATGCTATTCATTGTGGCTTTGGTCCAACCAATGATGATCTCCTCCACTGGTATTTGAGTAGTTTGCGTCAGGCGCGCAAGGAACATACCTTTGAGTCGGGACAACACAACGGGGACCAGGTTCCCTATATCTCAAGCGATGATACTAGACGACGGATATTCGCAGTCGCCGCTTATGCACTCGTGTTGGCAAGCATCAGCAGAATCCAAACAGGCCATAAGCAGACATCCTACGAGCCTACACGAGAAGCTTCAATGGAGACTACTTCGCGCAAGCTTATCTCCCTACAAACATGGTTCGATCAAACTACCCAGGCCTGGCGGCAGACCGAAGCAATACCAGCATGGGACATGGTCCAAGCAATTCTTCTGAAGATTGCCTGGATGACAACAGAAGATGCAGAAGATGTTGTCAAGCTAATGCTACGAGGCGCAGATGGTTCTAGGACATACCGGGTTAACGTGCACCCCAGTATACAATGAAATCTCTTGACAGACTCTAGCCACAAGTCATATCCAGCTTATCTGAACCTCGTCTGGTGACGCTCTATTCAAAGGTCTCCAAGCCACTCAGCATCATCGGGCTTGCTCAAATCGGTCGAGCAGTACCACCGCTCGCCGCCCTGCGATGTCTTAGTTTCACCCCAGCTCGGTGAGGCAATGCTCCAACTCACCGAAGGAATACAGCAGATCAGCGTCGCATCAGGATACTCTCCGCATAATCTACCTCGCGCCACATCGTTCCCAGGAGAAATGGCATGGCCTTGGTTGATAACACGTCAGCCAAAAGAAGCAATATTGAGGCCTTTTCCCAGTCGGATGCTCTCCGACAAAGGCGCCACTCACCAAGACAGTGCGGCCTGTGATCTCCCACCCAGTTACAGCACAGTCTGGCTTCCCCTTCTTCACACTTCTGAGCAGTCACATGCAGGTCAGGGCTCGGCATGGCCGCTATTCCCAATCCTATCATGGGTGCAGCCACTATCAAATGGATGTAATTCACTGCGACGAGCATCATAGTAGCGATCCTTTGCGTTTGCATTGAAAATCGAAACTCTATCAGGCGTTAACAGAGACGAGACTCGTGGCGCGAGCTCTCCTGCAGAGTAAGCGCGCGCGCGAAGGGGGGATGATAGCGTGCCGCTCGAGAGGGGTATTCGAGCGTCGCTGACTTGGGGATTGGCTACCTTGCCTATCTTCGTTTCTAACGTTTCCTCACTGATCGATGCATGGCTGCGGCGTAGGCCCAATTAAGTAGAGGAGTCTTCGGTGTGCCTACGGACCAACGGTCTTTGTTTGACTTTCATTTGATATTTCTTCATTCCAGTCAAGCTCTGTAAGATTTCACAAGTCATATTGGCATTGTCACCTCAAGTGTGTGATATCGAGATATACGAAGCACCGTATCAAAGTCAAGAGGAGTATATTTGCGCATCATAGAGCGCTCGTCACACCGAGGGCAAAGCTTAGAAAATGCAAGATGAAGCCGAAAATAATAGACACTATCGCTATTCTCGAGCCATATTTATATTTCGACGGGGTGGTGAAGGTAAAGGATGTCGTTGCGTTGACCTGTTGTGCTGCTGTAGATGTGGAAGTTGTTGCCACGGCGGCGCAGGCCCGGGCGCGGTGTGTCGCGGAATGATATGATGGTCTTGATGAGAATTGGGCCCACTCAACATCGACGGGGAATGCCCTGCAAGAGCACTTCGTGGTATTGCCGGTGGTGGCATGCTGGCTCCTTGAGAGGGGGCACTTTGATTAGCAGAAGCTGGGGGAGCCAGGCGCATGGATGGAAGAGGTTCAGGTTGAACGTTCGGCGCCACCGTAGGCGAGTAAGATCCAGTGGTCTGTGCCAGCTGTAAGTTCACCGAGGGTAGAGTTGGTCTCTGGAAAAAGGCTACACCCTTCGAGCATATTTTTGCAACCCCGTCCATGGTTGCCTTGTTGTGTGTAGACTCAGCCTTGAAATAGTCGAGATTCCTGGCTTGGACCTCCATAGATACTTCCAAAGCATCCTTCTGCTTCTGAATATCTGCAAGCTCTTCTGTCTTCCGCTGAATGACCTCCACATGCTGAGATGTCTCCATTTGGACTATTGCTGCACTAGCCATCAGTGCCGACTTTTCCTCCTCTAATTGTCTAAGTTGCTCGCGTATGCTCAAGTCAGAGTTATCCCTTTGGTCCTCTAGCTCTTTGGTGAGATGTTGGATCTTTACATCCATGCTTTGCTTTTCGACTTTCCATGAGCTTTGAGCTTTCTGAAGCTGTTGGAATTGGCCATCCTGTATGCTAAAGGTTTCTCTCAGTTGTGTTGCTTCTCTTTCCATGTGGGCAATTCGATCTTGAAGCTGACGTTCAGTATCAAGATGAAGGGTTCGCTCCGCCGTCCACGCTGCCTTCTCGGTTCTTAGCTGTTCAACTTGACTGTGCTGGTCCTTGAGTTGTTTGTCCATCTCGCGTTCCCGCTGCTCTATATTGGCTGTATAAGCCTTAGCGTGCTCGTTCTGGGCGACGATCTTTGCAAAATCGCTTCTGAGGTCTGCAAGATCTGACTCTAGGGATTCGTTTTCCCGCTTTTCCTTCGTCGAGATCTCGGCTAGGTTTACGATATCTCCCTTCAGCTGTGCAGCCTCATTAGCCAGGGCATCGTTTTCTCTTTTGAGGTTCGTAATCTCGTTATCCTTTTCCGCAGACACCTCATCTATTTCTTCGCGGAGCCTCTTTTCAGTCTCCTCGAGAGTTTTCTCCGCGACGCGGTACTTCTCTAAGAGCTCGGACATCTCGCCATCAAGCTCTGCAATTCTTGATTGGAAGACCTCTGACTCTTTTTTCCTTTCTCCTAGTTGTGATTCATGCATAGAACAGCGGGTTTTAAGGTCTTGATTGGTCGCTGTAAGATCCTCAAGTGCCTTCTTCTTGTTAGTACGCAGCCAACTAGGCGAATCTATCGCTTACTTACCGAACCGTATGACGTTATCTCCTCGCCGAGATACTGAAAAGTGCTCGATAAATTGAGATTCACACGCGTTTGAATCTCATGGACCATGTTGTAGAGTGTATCCATTTGGCAGAGTTGATCCATCTTGTTTTCTTGATGCGGCGGGCCGTTGGAATTTTCAACCACTTTAGAGATGCTCTCGCGGAACCAGTTCACTTCATCCATGGATAGTGGATCGAGGATTCGAGTGATTTCAAAGAGCTGAAACTCCCTCTTAACGAAAGCAACGAGTTGACCTCGAAACCCCTTCACTTGCTCTTCCAACGACTCAAGTTGCGATTTGGTGAAGAGCAAATCTTTATCAAGCTTGCGTCTCTCGTTCATCTCTCTTTTCAGACGTGTAATGACATTCGATTCATCGGGGGTCTTTTTGTTTGATTTATCCCGTTCTTGCTCTTGGATCTCTATTGGCCGTAGAGAAGCACTCGGTGTTTTGCTAGGCTCGGATGCTTGAGAGGAAGGAGAGCTTCCACGGTGGTTTACTGGAGAGGCTCCTGGGATGTCATATGTATTTGTCGTAGAAAGGAGCTTTACAAGAGGCACCTTCTCCGTTGAACTCGAATTCTGGAGTTTGGTAGAACCAAAGGCAGCCGGTCTCGATCCAGGAGAGACTGGTGATACGAGGAACTGCTCAATGGCCCTGCGCTTCGCGTGTGGCTCCATTGTATTTGGGAATGGAGACTCAAGTGCTCTCTTTCTCTGACGGCAACCGTCATCATCAGACCCGTATACCTTGCCTTCAATGTTGCCGACCGGAATTTTGATTGTAGACGCTCGGTCAGCAATCTTGATGCGACGGGGTCTTATTGTCCGTGAGGAGGTTGAATTGGCTGGGACAGCTTGATATTCTGCGACTGCGCTTTCATTTCGACTCACGTAAGGGTGGCGTGCACCAGGCAGCCTCTTTAGTCGTTTGAAGGTATTGAGATTTGCTTGGCTGGTTCGATCTTGCCTTGGTGCAGGAGCATCTGATTCTCCATCGCTGTCAGAGATTTCAATTGGCTTCTGGCGCGAGTCGCCCTGGGCCTCTGTCTCTTTGGGCCGCGGGAAAGAGTTGGTGCCGACTTGATCAGGCTGCAGTACAGATTAGTGTCAGCTTCTTATACACAGGCGAAGAACAAGAACGGTGGTATCCAGCCAGCGATTCAAAGAACATCGAGGCATGGGGTTTCAATACGGCATACAAGGGGATGGGGGTACTGACCGAGAATTCTGCTTTCATGCTGGCCAGTGAAAGTTCACTTTCAGAGTCACTCATGTCGGTGTCGGAAGAGGCAACAACGATACAGTCGCGCACTGCTCCTGAAGCCATGCCTCTAGATGTGGTGACGGTATTGTAGCCCTTGAATCGATCCTGGGACGACTTGTGATGGTAAAGTTGAGGACAAATTCGAGCTATGTGCCATTGGAGGAGCAGCTATAGTGGCCGACGGACGCGGGACGAGAGCGGGATGGGCATACAAGAAGGGAGAAGCAAGAGTTAACTGAAGAAGTTCCAGTGCAAGATGAAGACAACGACGAGATGCTAATTAGCTGCCTTGGATGACCATGGTACGAAACCACATCCAAGCAAATTGTGAGCCGCGCGCAGAGGTGATAGGATGCGTATAACCGTTATGACAGTGCTCGGGAACGATAGTCGGAAAGGACGGGTCGACGAAGACGAGGGAAGACACCACAAGAAGCAGGAGCTACCCAGAATAACACGGAGACATGGGAGGGTATCGGGGAAGAGAGGAAGGCACCACCGATACACCTTCTCTCGGGCAACGTAGATGGCTAACGTCAGTCAGTCGGTGAGTCAACCACCTGGGCAGTGCCCATTTTCCCCGATTGACTGATCGTTTGGTAAAAACAGAACAAGCTGTTTCCTAACGAATCTACTCAACAACATGACATGCCTGTCACCCACCTAATAAGGTAGGTACGTGCTTTCCTACTTTGGGGAACGTCTTTCTGCAAGATCCGATGGGTGGGTGGGGCTGGGGCTGGGGGCTAGACTCAATGGGCCCGTGTTCGTTCGCCTGGAAATCCATGGGGATGCACCTGAGGTATTCTCCTCCACTTACATGGACAGACGATACGGCAAATTGGCTTGTTCTGTGTTGCTCGCTCTTCGTTGGGCACATTACATTAGAACCAGAAGGAACAACATCGAAGCAGAAAAAGAACATTGAAACTTTCGCTTCGGCTCGCATGGTTTCCCGGCACAGGTAAACAAAGGAATATAGAATTGCGGGCGTCGTGCGGGTTCCAGCATACGCCACTTTAACTCCCAGGAGCAACTGAAACGTCCATCGTACCTAGGTGGCCTTCTTGCAGCCAACCAATCCAGCCAACGGACCGATGAACGATGATCACCTGGGCAGCCACCCTCCAGGTTGACGGCGGTCCAGTGCAGCCCAGCCCCTCATACTGTCGGTACGCGGGGTCGTTTCTCCGCCGGCCAAGAACGTTAGCATTGTGGGCGGGATGCATTTCCCCAAAGTGGCACACAATCAGGGCAGATAGCTGCAGAATGCATCCATTCAGCTTGCAACCAGAAACGCTAGTTTTCCTTTTTCAAGGCTCTTAAGCAGTGACTGGCCTGGCAAGCCTCTGACTTGTCTCAAGTGCGGTCCGTCCCTCTCGGCCCGGTCGCCTCAGAAATGCATCCGACTGGCCGGATTCTTGCATGATTCAATCGCTCAACGCCATCGGAGTTTCGTGATAAGCAGGCAGGAGACGACCCATGCGCATCGAATGTTTGCTATGTTATGTGACCAATTGCAAGCCTCACCTTGATAAGAGTAAGCAAGTTCCAACAATCAAATGACAAGGTCATGTCCGCAATGCCACGATGAATATAGGCTGGCGCGATGTATCGTATATGCACGAAAGTCACGCCGTATGAGGGTCAATAACACCTGCCATGAGGGATGCAGATAAGATCAAAGGCCAAACCATAGAAGAAAAGCAAAGAGGAAGTTACCAAATGCTTGGGCCTTTAGGGGTCACATGCTTTCAAGTGACGAAGTGAGTGATATTTCATTTCTTTTGTTGACAAGGACTGGCATTTCCTGTTGTGGTTTTTAGACCTGTTCGATATGAAAAAGTAAATATGACAGCCTTGACCGCTTAATTATCGATATCCGAGGAGATGCATTATTGAGAGAGAGGCGTTGATCCTACTGGCGTTTCTGCAATCTACCCGATAGAGAAAGTTGGATTTAATCATGTTCCTCTACGGATTGTCTTCTTGAAGTTTGAGACCCTCTATTCTCGTAGTTACACCCCTTCCCATGCCTTGATCCCACCTCAACATCGTGCAGTCGCCACTTTATACAATGTTTTGCATCCTATCTCCTGGCAAACATTAGGAATGCCGCATAGAAAGTTTACAGTCGTAGTTGCAACCGTGGGTGGACAGGCGCATGGATTGACAAGTGTTGATGTCTCCGTACACTGCGGCACAAAGCAGGATTTACACGCCGTTCCTGTAGATGTAACTGTGGGACACGAAATGGGATATGGGACAGATTGAGTTATTGATGTCGTCGTTGTAGAAACAAACGAAGAAGACATGGGGGTCGACTTAGTGGTCGCCGCACTGGTTGGGGCAAAGATTGAGGTAGAAGACGTGCTAGAATTTATGGTAGATGATCGACTCGAAACCGTAGATGGAGATGCTGATAAAGCGGCTGTGTCGTCGTCCGTGAACGGTGGCCAAGTCGGAATGGAGATCGAGGTCGTCGTGTCTTTGGGTAGAGTTGTAGGCGTCAAAGTAATTGGCGGATCAGCTGCAGGCAATACAAACGCAGCCCTGTGGGACACAATGTAAGCTGACAGACAATAACGTCATGCGATATGAAGGGCTTCATACATGAGTATGCCGCTGAGAAAGATAAGAAGTGCTCTGTTTGTCATGTCGTCTGTTTTACAGGTTGAGTGACCACGGCTGCCCAGTCTTGGAGGAACTACCGTGTTCAGATGTAGAGTGAGCTGTAGATCTTATAGGAAGCTTCATGTCCCCAGCGTCGTAGACTACAAATACATTCATATTAGCTCATATTGCTCTAGCTTTATAGTATCTAAATAAAAGGTATGTGGTCACGGTGGCTTTGGCAGAGAAAAGCTTAACTAAGGTTTGCCCCTGAAGCGAGTGAAGTCAATAACGTGAACAGAAGCTAGCAGTTGTAGGGGTCTCGAACTGGCTATGTTGAAATTGCAGTTACATCGCCTCGTCTCGGCTACGCGAACGTCAAGATCCGGATCTACCATTAACTAGCAATTGTGGCAAGCTCTCAATCAAAGCCTGGCCGGATGAATATTAAAACCCCGCAAGTATTCCCCATCGCCAACTGAAAATAGTCAGAGAATCTTATGGTGATCTCTTGGTAGGTTGAATAAAGTCATGTGAAATATCCGTGAAGATACTGTCAACCGCCAAAGCTCACTCTCATCATACTCTGGCAGGTGGCAACACTTTTTAATATTGAGCTACAGAAACTATGCCTCATTCACCTCCATACATAGGTTACGACCAATGTGTTCAAAGAATATATACACACGCAAGAGTAAGTTGAAACCAAGAGAAGACTTTTCAACCTATGATACCAGGGACCAAGCTTCCGAGATCCAGCCGGGTCGTCCCCTAGCTAGTCAGAGACCGCCTCTAAGCTCCGAGCTTTATGAAGATTTAGTATTTGCTTGAATAAGGTATATCACGATTCAACCTACCTGCCAGACATCCAGAGCGACGCCGCCATCAAACGGAGCGCCAGTGGCGTATCCTACCACTGTGTTGATCCAGGAGTACTTGTCACTGCCAGTTTCAAACAGAATATGAACGTTCGGAGCATGGCCTTTTTCCGTCACCATAATATTGGCTCCATCGGCTGTCTTCAAGACATAGACAGCGTCAGGGCTAAATGTTCCTTTTGAGTCCGTCAAGCCCCAGTCAAGACCAAGACCGACCGTCCCTTCGAAGTTACAACCACGTCAGCATTTGAGCTTATTGGGAAATGTGATCTCCAGTCACAAAAACTCACCATTAAGCCGTGGTCCTGAGAATGTACCTCCATTGATGGGCAAGAGTGCTCGCCCGCCTTGAGGAGTTGATCCGATGTCAACGGAAGGTGGCATTGTAAGGTTTACGCTGTAGAGATATGTGAGAGAAGGGGGTGTTGGCGCGGCGAGGGCTCCCAAAGCCAAGGACGCCAGCAGGAAAGATCTGATCGCCATTTTCGACCTTTTCGAGTTGGTGTGTTCCAATTCAAGAGAACGAGAGCAGGTGCGTACCGCCCGCTATTAGGACTGGATTCTACTTATACACATTCTGCGTCAAGTGGCCATCGTTACACAGACGAAATCAATCGCACAAAAACTGTGTTCGTGTTCGCAATAAGCGGCTCGCTCCTGCAATCATCTTTGCGGCCGGAGCCTTGTGAATGTCCGGCTGCGGCTAAACAGGTCACATTGAGCCCTCTAATTTTGTCTGGTTGTCGAAAGGAGTATAAATTGACCAATTACTGCAAAATCAAACGAGGTGAGATTGCCCATAAGTATTGTGAAGCCAAGAATGATGTCTTGATAAGCGAAGACATATCATATTGATTGGGGACTCTCCAACCCGCAAAGCTACCCCTCACCACCTTCGGCGCACCACCAGGGCGGTTCTCACTTTCGTTCCAGACTTTCAGGGGCAGCCTTTGGGAACATCAAAGGCGCATACATGATACCCTTGTTGGGGTCAGCCTAAGCAATCAATGATTCGTTCAGAGGAGACTCGGTGTGCCGATGGCACTTGGGCCAGATATTGCATTTGAAACTTCACGGGCGCAAGGACATGATAAAGCAGCACATTGTCACAGCTCAAATACCCATATCTTGGTCTTCCTAACGCCTGGAGAGGTCCATGATGTGGTTGTCGAGTGCGAAAAGCATCGGCAAGATGGATCTGCTCTGTTTTGTCTCAACCCCTACGCGCCGACTGCTCCTCTTCAGATTTGCCCATCACAGAGTTATCAGCCTCTCCCACCATTGTAGTCTGCACCTCCAGCCCGCCGTAGCCTTGCAACGATATCCTTCTCATCCAGATCTGACCTGTCACTCGCGTCCACCTGCACGCTGTGGTGGCTCAGCACTTTCTTGACTTCCCCGCTCTCGATGCTCGCTCGCGCTTTTCGCATGACTTTGGCACTGGAGCCGATCCAAATGATCATCGCAAACTTGACGCGCTTGCTCTCGGCATCGTTGGCGTACTCGACCCGCGCGTACGCGTACTGCACTTGAGTGTCATCGAGCTCGGCAGCTAGCTCGGACAGGCCGCCGGTGCCTGTCTTCGTCAGCGTCAGCTTGTTGCCAACTGCCGCGGCGTAGGATATAAGAAGCCAATTGGTCTCGTCTTTGTCGGAGCGAACGGCCTCGTAGGCGGCCGCGATTTCCGGCGCGTCGAGGCCGGACATGATGGTCGAAAGGACGGGGTGTGTGGGCAACAGGAGGAGGGGTTGAATGTCAACTGCCAGCGACGCATTGAGCGACAATCGATCGCCCACGACCGCAGGGCGGCGTCGGAGCTCCGTTTCACATCTGACCGCCCCGGCTTAGTCAGCGGGTTTTTATGTAAAACTCAGCGTAGATAACTCTATTCGAGCGACGCACACGATCCATTTGGGTTGAACGCAAAATAGCTCGACTTCTTATCTAGTATGAGCTTCAATCCCTAGAAGTGCAGGTCGTAACACCAGATGTTGCATGGTGGGGGCTTAGAGCTGAGGTGATACGAGTACTGGTTGTCTCACCAAGCATACTCGGGAAATTTTGTCATGTCTAAATTCTGACTTGGCGCGATTTAGTGAAGCTTCAAGCCTAGTTGTTCTGACATTGCAGCCAGATAAAGCTTGATTGGTGTACCCAGGCCTATGCCTTTTCGCAGATGTGCATGAATGTTGGTTGGGTATACGATGAGGAGTGCTTTTCTTCTTCCCATAACTAATAAACAGAGGATGCTTGCAGACGTATCAATCTTTATTGTGTATGACAATATAGGGTATATCATACCTCCAACTCAAGAACAATTACCGTGAACCTGCAACCTAAATCAAGCCATACAAGAGGGCTTCGCCTTCCGGCTCAACCATTCTTGATTCCCTCTCCTCGACTATACCAGTTGGTTCTATTGCAGGCAGCACATAGACACTATGGCGGCTCATCCGAACCTGAATATCCCAGACTCCGGTAATACTGTCAAGGTTCGAGTGATTGACACTGGCGCAAGAGCTACCCTGCCTTTCTCAATGGTAACACCAACCATTAAAGGGTTTGAAACGTTAAAAGATTTCCCTGCTTTCTCATTTCTCATCGAGCACCCATCCGGCCGCAAAATACTGTTCGATCTTGGAATCCGCAAAGACTGGAACAACTACGCAGGCCCAATCACTGACGCATTTCGAGAACGCGGGTGGATCGTGACAACAGAGAAAGGTGTCGAGGAAGTGCTGGAAGAGCATGGGGTTAGAAGGGGCGAGATCGAGGCTATAGTCTGGAGCCACTGGCACTGGGACCATCTTGGCAATCCAGCGGTATTTGAACCATCTACATCGCTTTTAGTTGGTCAAGGATTCAAGGATTTCTTCATGCCGGGGTATCCTGCAAATCCTCGAATGCCTGTTCTAGAAAGTGACTTTGCTGGCAGAGAAGTTAAGGAGATTCTGTTCGAGGAATCACAGTGTCTTAAGATTGGACGTTTCGATGCCATGGATTACTTCGGAGACGGGAGCTTTTACATTCTTGATGCGCCGGGCCATGCGCTGGGTCATCTCAATGCTTTGGCTCGAGTCACGGCGTCACCCCCATCATTCATTTTCATGGGAGCAGACACCGCTCACCACCCAGGAGAATTTCGACCCACAACCTACTCACCACTGCCACCACATATCGACCCGAATCCCTTAGATATGGGGAGCTCATATCCTTGTCCCGGGGCACTGTTTGAACATCTACTGAGAGATGGCGACAAGACGCAGCCGTTCTATCGCCTCAGTAGGCCGCACATCCCATTTTCAGATGTTGATGTTGCCGAGCAAACTCTTGAGAAGATGCAAGAGACCGACAGCCATCACCAAATTTTTACAATCATTGCTCATGACAAATCACTTTTAGGGAAAATCGATTTCTTCCCTGGTTACGTTAATGATTTCGTTGCTAAAGACTGGGTTCAAAAAACCAAATGGGCATCCTTGTCAGACTTCAGGAATGCTTTGAAAAGCGAAGACTTAGATTGAATAGTGCCATAGCTACCACATCATCCTGACGAATAATTGTGGTCATCTTATAAGCGAACTACCAGGAGTCTTCGTGGATTTTCCAAATTCAAACCTTTTACCCACACTCAAGCGCTTTTGAACTCCGCGATGACAGAACGTGGCTCTTGATAAGTTGCTGCCGGAACATAACTGATATCAAGCCTAGATAACACTCATATTAGACTTTGCATAACTGAGGAAGTGTGCATTTTGAAATAACGTCACATACCCAAAAGCTTCGGGACCACCGTTCTTAAGACCTTCGCCTTGTGTCCACTGTGGGCTTCCAACCAGAGCAAATACATGGACACGTAGTCCATATCGGTAGTCCTGGGTGCCCAGTGCTCGACCATCCTCCGCATCGAGGACACATATCAAATCTGGAACGCTAGCCAAGGTCTTCTGGCTGTCAGTATCAAAGGCATGGATATTTTCGTTCTGGAAGGTGATCTTGAAACTGCTATTCGCCTTTCGAGATTCATTCGTCTGTTGTGCCGACGCGTTCGATTCCGAGAAAGGCACAATCTCAATTGAGCCTTCTGTGAATGCGCCACGAACGTCGCGCGTCACTCGAGTGATCTTGCCGGTGAGAATCCTCCTGCCGGGGTAAGTTGAAAGGATGCCATCCACAATGTCGCGTTTCTCTAGTCGTGCAATTTTCACGGCCCGACCGAGACGCCATGCAAGCGAGAATGAGCGCTGGGCTGCTGTACTCTTCACTTGCTGACCTGTAAGAGCCCCAAGGGATATACCTGCGGCTTGACCCATCTGTACGCATATGGCACGAAGCATGTCTTCGACATCCTTATTGGAACTAGCTTGAACTTGAACTAGTGTATTGCCTTTAGCATCTGATGCCGCAGCTGGTGCAAGAGATATGCCGGCATTGTTAGGCGTAACTTGCCAAAGGTTGGGATACGCCCGTCCCATGAGGTCGGCGTCGACAAGCGGTTTCTTGGTCCATAACGCGGCCTGTATGCCTCGCATTCCATTAGATCCGCCGATCTCGAGACTCATTACGGCCGTCAAGTCTGACACGCTTTTGTTTTGCGAGCGTAAAACGGCATCTACCGAGTTCTTCAGTTCTTCACCAGAGGGGAGCCTTTCAGAAAAGGTACTCGGGGAACCCATGACTGCTACGGCTGGGATAAAGCCATTATCGGGTAGCGTATCTGGCGATATTATATTCACCACTTCGCCCGCTGCGAGGAGTTTCTTTACGCTGAGATAGCTTGCGTAAGTGTCGCCGCCACCACCACATCCAAGGATAGCACAGCCATCTGCTATGAAGTCTAGATCTGTTGTTGTCAATGTCCAGTAGTCATCACTAATGCTTGGCTTATAGGACCAAATATCGACAGGCAATTCTGCGAGAGAAGGATGATCTGGTAGTGGTTCTGTGAACGATTGATCGACATCAGTGGCATCAAGTGCTTCGTCTTTTTCAAAAGTTGACACCGGCTCCTTTGTCGGCTTATGACCGTTACTGGCGAGCCTACCCGCTGCTCGAACGACAATGTGCCGTGACCTTGTGTTGACATAAGGGACGGGTAAAATAATCTCCTCGACCACCTCAGCATTCTCCGCGCCATTCTCTTCAGCCTGAGAAATAGCTTGGGCCCGCGCTCGCGCGATGGCTTCATCTTCCGACTTGTCGTCTGTGAGGTTTACGATCGTGTTCACCACGCCTGAAACTTTAGCCATTGCGGCACCGACAGCATTGGCAACGTGAGAAAATGCTGGCCTAATGATGTGAGAAACACCTTTGAGGTTATCTGGACAAAGAATACTTCCACCGCCAACAAGAATGATCGGAACATCCGCCTCAGACGTCTTCATTTCATCTATAACGCGCTCCAGGAGCAGTTGAATTTGAGCTTTGGCGAGATTGACGACTGACTTTGAGACGGTAGAAATCTGAGATCTGTCACCAAGTCCTTGGAGACCTGCAGCAACAATAATATCGGTCGCGGTTAGTACAGATCCTCCGAAGACACGAGCCTTAGTGACAAGATGTTTCCCCACGGACTGCGGTCCTACGGTAACAGCTCCAGAGTTGCCTATTTGGACGAGTGAACCGCCTCCCACACCTATGCTACGCACATCCGGGACCGCAAAATTCGTCCGCACCCCAGCTAGATGTGATATGGCGGCGGCCGGTCGTGGTAGACCGGATGGCTCTAGGGCACAGACATCCGAGGTCGTTCCGCCGATGTCCAGGATCAGTGCTCCGTTCTCCAGACCGTTCTTCGCACCAGCAAGAAAGGCTGCCCCAGTCAGAGAGTTCGTGGGGCCAGAAATAAAAGTTGAAACAGGTAGATTAGCGGCATCATCGGCGCTTATGAGAGTGCCATCATTTCTGGTCAAAAACCTACCAGAGCTTAGTCACGAGTCCATAGCATAGACGAGAGTTGGATTACTTACAGACTTGCGGACAGTCTCAGCCCTCTTAAAGATTGTTGGAACTGCTTGATTGTTTTCTTGGCAAAGGGCAGGATCGTAGCATTGAGAATAGTGGCGTTTTCTCTCTCGATGAAACCAATTCCCGCGACTTCGTGTGATAGAGTGATGTGTACTGTCGTACCCAAGACCGAACGAAGAATATCACGGACGTGTTCTTCCTGGTGGAAAACCGAGTCTATTGGGGAGTAAGTCCCGATGATTGCGATATTCGTAAGGCCGACTGCCCTGATTTCCTCCGCTGCCTGCCTCACGGCGCTTTCGTCTATAGGCGTGATCACACGTCCGTCAACTGAAATGAAAGATAACAAGTCAGCTTTCGAAAAGCGGGTGGGATTGGGGCGTAAATTGATACATACTCTCCAAGCCACCGGGCAACCATGCACTGAAGCCTTCGACAAGTGGTCGAAGATCGTCAGGTAGACCTGCAAATGGTGGAACCTCTCTTGCGTAGGGGCCACAGAGCCGCAAGATAGCAACCTTGGTCAGTTTGCTCGCATCTTTCTCAACAACCGCATTGATAAAATGCTAAGATCCATGTTAGCGGGCCATTCATGTGACAGCAAGAAATGTTGGGAGTGGGATTACTATACCGTAGTGCCAATGTTGACAGCCGTAATGTCGCTGCGTGCAGTTGACGGAAGCTGCTCAAGAACTTCTCTCAAGGCTTCTCCTATGCCTTTGCTTGTATCTGGCGTAGTTGGGATCTTGCAGTGAGCAATAATGCTGTCTGCAGGACTCGCGTGGCTCAGGGCTAGGTCAGTAGCCACTGCATCGGTGTTTGTCCCACCTAAATGCTCATCGTATGTCAGAGATCTGAGGTTGTCTCAATGGAACTTTTAGCTGCTGACTTACCCACGTCTACTCCGATGATGATGGGCATGGCTACCTACGTCAAACAGGAGTCTTCAGCTTATCCGACGATGAAAGTGGCATGCATGAGCACGAGGCAAGCAATTGCTATACATGAGTGACTAGGTGCAAGTTCCGCTATCTTTCTTAGCCCGGCCAGTCACTAGTAATAAGGCATCGCTGTTATCAATCGCCTGTCAAAATTGGGTCGAGGTATACTGAAAAGTACGCTATAGTCAAGTAAGCCAACAGCTAGCGTACATGACGACATTGCCTAATGGCCCCATATTACCCGAAAACACCGCTCTTGGCACCGCCAGTTCTTCTCTAGAATGGCCTGGAATGTCACGATGCTCCGATCATTTTCATATTCCAGTTGCAGCTCTTGGCAGCCGCAAAGGACGCCGAAGTCTCTCTAACTACATACTCCTTCTACTACAGGCACGATTATAGAACCAGACCCTTCGTCAAGATATGAGCGCGCTACGGGCTGTTTATTTGATGATAGCAGGAAGGTCAGATTTTCGAATTGCCAACCAAAATATTGGTGGTGTCTGGCACACATTACGACCGAGCGAATTGATTGAAAGTTAATCAGACTTTCGAAATGGACGGCTCCCGAGGGATCTCGATTCCTTCAAGGTTTTCCCATGCTGTGAACTCAAGGAGGCCCTGGTCATTACGACGCGCTTTTCCACGATGTCTGTACGAAATGAGATTAGTTAGAGCCTCGCCAGAGTCTCTACTCAGTGAGGTGACTTACATATCGCTTCTGATCATCAAGAGGATTGCGCCCACAGTCAAAATAGCCAAGGCTATCATCCCGGCACACACTTGATACCCGTATTTGTAGTGAGGAGCTAGTCGACAATTAGTATGTGTATTTGTATTATGTTCGACTTGGGTGAAGACATACCGTCCACAGCTGGGAAGAGGAGGACCAAGGCCCAAGAGTTGATTGCATAGACAGCTGTGTTGCCCAGCGATACAATTAGTCCGCGAAGCGTGCCATTGCCTTGACAAACTTCATTAAGCCAGGCAATGGTAATGGACTGGGCGGGTAGACCAGCGGTAATGAAGATATAGCCGATGAATTTGAGCCATTCCGGTGCTTTCCAGACAGATACAAAGACGTTGCCCGCGAGACATATCATCATGTTGGCCACAATAACGATGGGGCGATTCTCCAGCCAGTCTGAGATGAACCCGCTGATAATGGCGTTCACCAGGGCTGCACCCTGTCCGGCCGTCGGAATGTTGTTGATCTGAGGAACTGTGTACTTGCCAAGGTATTGTAGCCACAAGTTGAAATAGCCGTCACCCCAAGAAAAGGCACCGTACAAGCTATAAAAAATTAGTCAGCACAGACACTCGGGGCTCATCATGAAATATTGGCTGTCTCACAAGTAACACGCCACAAACAAATAGACATGCCAAGTTGTCCAGATTCCTTTGAATCGTGTCCAAGTAATCTTTTGTACTGGCTTTCTACCCACACTGTCCATACGTCGGATGGCAAGATCGACCTCCTAAACGGTACATTAGCCGGAGCCTGATTAGTTCATGAAGCGGTTGGAAACCATACCGGAGCCTTCAACCATCTCGCCTTGGTATCCCTCGGCTGATCAGGTAAAGCATAGAAACCCCATAGCGAGATAGGGATGGAAATCAAGCCATCAAAGATGAAGAGCCATCTGCCATATGTTAATGATCGTTCCAAGTCCTATTGCAGTCACTGACAACTTACCTCCAACTTGCCATGCCCTTTCCGTTCATATTAGTGTAAAGTCCTGCCTGAATATATCCCGAAAACATTCCAGCTACTCGAGCAGACACTTCGTAAAGAGCCATCCGTTTGCCCAACTCGGAAGGTGTGTACCAAGCACCAAGGACCGCAGCAAATCCGGGGAAAGCAATTCCCTGAAAAAAACCGATAGCAAACCGTAGGCCATAAACCTGTGAAAGTTCCAATGTTAGACAGAGAAGGTTGGGCAAGCCAAAAAAAAAAATATGCGACTCACAGCCTGAGCAGATTTGGCTCCGGCGATGCCCATTACGAGTGCTGTCCAAGCCAGCTCGCAGGCAGGCATCAAAATCGAGGGCCTGATTCTGGTCGCCAACAGAATGAGCGGTACTGGAGCATGGTCAGCACCAATGACGAAGATTTTATTTCACAGGAGGCCCAACGCACCTGCGCCAGCGATAATACCGCAGTTGAAGGTTGTCGAAAAATAATTGAGCTCATTGTCAAAGAGGGAAAGCTGAGGTTTCAAATTAGCAAACGTTTCTAGAGAATTATGCCCATTTAGGATTACTCACATCTTCCTTCATGCCAGAAACGTACGCATTACTGTCATTTCTTCTCAGCAATCGCGTTGTTTGTGTCGTTTTTACCGATCATACCTGATATTGGTATTGTCTAGTGTCTGCATGAAACACGACAGAGCAGTGTAGGACCTATGTCGCTGTTAATTAATTTTTACCAATTTAGATTCAAGTCGGTGCTGATAATCGGGGAGCATACAAAACATAAAGATCCAGCTTTCGAACTAACGTGCGATCTGCATCTCTATTGAAGTAGCGAGGTAGGGTAATGCCGAACAGGTGTCGTCGATGCTCCTCCTCAGCTGAAGCAGCCTCAACTGCAACCTGAATGTTGCCGTTGTCCTTGGGGCTAGCAGCGCCGGAAGCCGTGTTAGTTGACATGATTGAACTGGACATGCAAAGTCTGCAGTAAAAAGCATGCTCGGCAAAGCCAGTTGCCTTGGCCAGGGCTCTGCCTCATATATTGCAGATCTTCAACGCCACCAGTCTACCGACAAGCAGGGTCATACTGCACAAGACGCGAGTCATCTGCCGACTATAGGCTTGTTTCGCCCTAGGAATCTTGACTAAACGTCAAATCACACTCAGGGAAGCCTCGTGGCAAGGGCTGCAGGAACTCCGGGACTAGGGCATCTTGTCATCTGTCGAAACTGCAGATGCCTATCATCCCTGTATGCCAACATAGCACACTAAGGTGGGTTTCGGAGTATGTGCGGTAAAACTCTACTGCAATAGTCCTGGTAGAATGCATTTGGTGCAAGGTGTGAAATTAGCGTCGATTGCGAATGTCCCAGGGTTATCAAGAACGGAGATTCCCGACTTCACGATAGACTTCAAAGGAATAAACCATCGAAAACAAATTACCACGCCGCAAATTTCAGGACGCTCAAATCCATCCGAACCAAGCTCGAAGGTGTAAGTTTGGCACGGATTGCGACTTCACCAAGGCGGGGCGGACCCTGGCTGGTTCTTGCAGGATTCTGATAGACTGGGGCTTCGTGTGGATCTTCATGTCGATGGCCCAGACTGGGTGCTGATAAGTATTGTATGGTGGTGCGGTATGCTAACGACTCGGGGAAAGGTCGTTCGAGACCTGCTTCCATTCCCGGACGACACCGGAGACCGAACTCAATGTGACACCAGTGTCTTGATTCAGGCGTTTCCAGCCCTCGCGTAGATAAGCCTAACAAAGACTCTCAAGACGAGTTCAGATTACCTAGAGCACCTTAAGAAAAAGACCATCATTATCCCATCTGAATTCAGCATTATACGTGCGGCAAGATGGCGGCGGCTTCAGTATCAGGGGAGAAGAAGAAGATCTATCTCAATGCGTTTGACTGCTGCACCGTCGGTCATACTAGTCCTGGTCAATGGCGAAATCCATTAGACCAGTCATCCAACAAACGTGATCTAAATTATTGGCTTGATACGGCGAAGTTACTGGAGAAGGGAAAATTTCTATCTTACTTCCTCGCAGATACAGTAGGTGGATTTGATGTGTACAAGGGCAGCCGAGACCCTGCAATCAAGATTGCATCGGAATTTCCTGTTACGGATCCTTTCATTGTAAGTCTAAAGCGCCTGATAGGTTCATCAAATCACTACTAAAAGTGTCCAATAGCCAATCGCGGCTATGGCTACTGTGACGAAGTCGCTTGGCTTCGGAGTGACAGCATCAACAAGCTATGAGAGACCTTTTCTTCTGGCACGTCGATTTTCGACACTCGACCATTTCACCAAGGGTCGAATTGGGTGGAATATCGTCACGTCTTGGAATAAGTCAAGCGCCCTGGCAATGGGTCTGACCGACATAATTCCCCATGACGAGCGGTATGCCGCAGCGGACGAGCTCTTGGAGCTTCTCTATCAGTGAGCTTAAATTTGTTTTACGCATTACCCTGTTTATTAACCCTATAACAGATTATGGGAGGGGTCCATCGCTGATGACGCCGTCGTCAAGGACAAATCATCTGAGACATATATTGACCCATCCAAAGTCCGCACAGTCAAACATAATGGCAAGTATCATCAACTGGAAAGTCCTTTCATAGTAGACCCAAGCCCTCAAAGAACACCGTTCCTGTTTCAAGCAGGCACATCACCGTAAGTACATACCAGGATACTATGCCTTAGTCGTTCGTTCTAACCTTGCTATAGTGCCGGATCAGCATTCGCGGCCAAACATGCCGAAGCAATTTTTGTAGCTGGCCACGTCCCCGGAACACTCGCTCCCAAGATTGCGAAGATTCGGCAGTTAGCAGCGGATCAAGGACGAGATCCTCAGAGTCTGAAATTCTTCCAGTGTTTAACTGTGATACTTGGCGCTACTGATGATGAAGCTCACAAGAAGCTCGAAGAAATCAAGAAGTACCAATCAATTGAAGGGGGTCTGGTAATCTTTAGTGCTTTTACTGGAATTGATCTCAGCCAATACGACCTTGATGAAGAAATCAAGCCTGAAAGCAGCAAATCGTCCGCGATCATTCAGTCTGCCTTCAGTAATCTCTTTAGCGAGAAAGAGGGCACTGGAAAGTGGACACCCCGGCGTGCAGCTGAAGAGCTATCTATTGGAGGCAATGGTGCCGTTCTCGTCGGAAGCCCGCAAACAGTTGCTGACGGGATGGAGAAGTGGATCAAGGAGGCAGACCTAGACGGATTCAACCTTTCCCCCGTGGTCCAGCCCCAGTCGTGGGAAGACATTGTCAATCTCTTAGTGCCTGAGCTGCAAAGGCGCGGAATCTACTGGGATGACTATGAAGTTCCGGGAGGGACACTGCGTGAGAATGCTCAAGGTCGTGGTCATAGCCGATTGAGAACAGATCACGTTGGGAGCAGTTTTAGATTCCGTAGTTCTAGGAAAGAGTAAACCTTACTCTACTATTATAAAGATGTCAAACTTCCTTCGAGGGTCTTCTTAGACGGGTATAATCTCATGCCGTTCGCACAAACTTGACAGAATCAGCTCGAGCACATCCAGACCCTGATGTCAGGAGAGTTACAGCCCAAGCTTGTCCACTCGTGATTGCTACGCCACTTGATATTAGCACCCAACGTGCACTTCCAGCAGTTTGGTCAACACTGGAGCTCTTGATGCTGGCGCCGTTCTTGATCAGACTGTATGATACAGAGGGATCCGAGTCTGAGCGAGCGATTATCCACACCCACACCTCATATGTCCCTGATGAAGTGGTGGTCGGAAGGCTCCAGGTAGCTTTGGCGCTGGCGCTATTACATGAATACCTAGTAGCCAGACCCTTCGTATAACCATCAAGGGTTGATGTAGCCCATGCGCCCGTCTCGCTGTAGCCCTGATTAGAGGCGCAGGACGTACTATTCTGAAAGCAGAGCGTGCCCGCAGTGAGATACTAAATTGTGCCATTAGATTTCCCGTTGACCTACGTATTAGAGTGCTACTTACATAATCCTTCTGGTAATATCGTACATAAGACGCTTGAATTTTAGAGGGAAGGGCTGAATCATCAGGAACTTGTCCATAGGCGAGAGACGTTAGCCATATGTTGACATAATTATGCGTCCATTTGGTCGGTGTCAGTGACAGATTAGCTGACTGAACCCCATCAATGAAAAATGTGACAGTATTCTCGGCCCATAAAGCCCCGAAAACATGCCATTCCGCGAATTTGTATGTTGTTGACAGAGTGCCAGAGCCATAAGACTGGTATCGCGACCCATCGGCATTCCATAGGTTGATATTGTGCGAAATAGCTGAATTATAGATCGAGTCGCGTTCGAATATATCAATCTCACTATGCGCGTGCGGAACTGTGTTAAATGTTGATGATCCGCTATTCAATTGTCAGCTTACATGTGCCAGTGGTATTCTCAAAGTAGTGACATACTTGCCTGCCATCAACCAGAATGAACTATGCCATCCTTGTCCAGAATTCATTTGTATCTGGGATTCAAAGTACCCATATTGGAAGACTGCTTTTGAAATTACGCCTCCGCCCGTACTACAATGAATCAGCGAATTGTTACAAAATCTTGCCAGTAAATTGTAGGTGCTCGGAAACCGACTAATTATAGCTGCCGACTTTCTGCTTTTTGAGATTCACCACTAGGTTGCCATCAGCTTGCTCGACATTTGCAGCCAGTTGAGCACTATAAGCTTTTTGGTCTAGACGGAAATTCCACACGCTGGTGTCAACTGCAGACTCGCCGAACTCTTGTTGCCATTTGAGGGAATAGAGGTCACACTCAGCTCCGCATAATGCTGCAATGGCAGCGGTGGGAAAGGCGACGGCAGTGACGGCAAATTGCATTAGATTCATATTGACGACAGAAGACGGTTTCCTATTCTAACAACGCTACAAGTGGTAACGCCGAAGTCAAGAGTATCTTAATTATCTATGGGAGACGGCGGGAGTTCATATAGGCCAGCGCTCAAAGATGCTGAAACTCACATCCAGCCTTTCATCCGGAGTCCATTGACACGAAAAACCCATCTTAACCACGTAGTCGCCTTCTTGAGCCAATAGAACAGGGTGCTAACCGACAAAGTGAAGCTATCCCCAATTCTTCGACATCGGTGAAGTTTGACGGGACCACCGATACCTAACACCTTTAGACTAGGAACCGCCGAAGCGTATCCGGGGATGCGGGGAACCCTGGCGGCCGTGGGGTAAGTTTGACAAGCAAGTAGGCAAGGCGAGTAAGTCTTGGTGGCAGCAGACGTGACATGATGACCAAATCTAAAAGGTAAGGTTCACAGAGTACTGGCATGCGTGATTTTGAATTGCACGTCCGATTGGGCATTGGTGGCCGAAATGCTGGGATTTGTATTCCAACACTCACAACACTGTTTAATCGAACGAGGCATCTCCATGCTGTTACAAGTCTTGACACAGTTCGAATTTGGGCATCAAAACTCGAAAATACAAACTTCTGTGGTCTCAAAAAGCTGATTACCTGTATTGCTCTCTTGCGTCTCTTAGTTTTGACTCTGCCCTGTATGCCTGGCATAATGTGGACTCAGAACGTCGAGCAACTGGATTGGACGACAGAGTGATATCTGGCCACAATGACCCCTGTCGGTGTAGAAGCGATTTGGCTTATCTATCAAATCTGATGTAAGCAAGCCACCTCATATCACCACAACATCATTTCACAACAAGCATGACTGAGTCAGTGGGCGACTGACAATGGGCGTACCGTCTGAGAGCAGTCGCAAGTCGACAGGTACCGGTCAAGGGAAGCGGCGAGGTGCTCCGAAAGTCCGCTCCGGCTGCATAACCTGCAAAAGGCGCCATATGTAAGTGCGGTTGACTCGCTTCTGATCTTGCTAACAATTGATAAAAAGTGTGATGAGCGCAAGCCCAGTTGTGTCCAGTGTGCACGATCCTTGAGAATCTGTGGCGGAT